TGTAATGTTATGACTTTTGACATATGTAGGGATGCGAAGTGCACCCAAAAAAGGTCATGTTGTGAAGGAGATGAAAGCGTAAGATGGACTCGTCGAGAAGCTTTCCTTATTGAGTGAGTGATATGTCACGAATTGCCAACAGAACTAATTCCTTTAACGGTGAGGATTCACAAAGGATAGTGCTCTAACTTGAAGGGCTGCTGGATAATGGGCAGTTGGATGAAAGCCAAATTTCGACGATATGACCACGACGTGTGAGCATGGTTTGTGGTTTTAGCTTCTCGGGTCGGAGTATTTTGCACTCGAACGCCGTACCACGCTCACAGCATGTGTTGAAAGCATGTGTTGGCAGCGAAACAGTAGACGGTGCGAATACCGTAGCCGTTTGTTTATCCTCTCGACATGATATTGTAGCTTGTCGTCAACGTACGTCAACAACTTGTAGTTGGGCACACATATGAAAGCAAAAAACAAAACGATCATTCTAAGTAACAATTTTGTCACTCCTACATTAGGATCATCACAACTAATCTTGAAATTCTCGAGACCATATAAAACGGCTTCATTATATGTATACGTCAAAGGCAGGTGATCGAGACCAATGAAACGCAAGGATATCGGACATCTTATCCGTGGTCCCTATTATGACGAACAGATTACTCAAGTTCCATTTATACGGACGGCAAAGATCAAGTTGGATTGCTAATATCGCCCAAATACGATCCGAGTTCAGTTCCCAGCCGGAAAAGTGGATAGTAAAAGGGTGAGTATCCTTGTCGCGGGCCCACTCTCCTATGCCGTGGACTCCCGTTATTGACGAAAAAAGAATCAGTTCTTCATCCAAAGGTACCACTTATCATTCAGCGTCCAAAGTGAACAGGATCTCCTAATATTTGAACAGAGATTTGAGACATTGAGAGACAAATACTATTTAGTATAGTTCCGAGCATCGGCGCATTCTTTTCGATCTTGCAGGAAGTTACTATAGAAGCTTTTTCTCTAAGTTGTTGTGATCGAACCCATTCCCAATAGATGCATACATTGTTCTATTTGTTGATATATCTATTTACTTATCATTTACACAAGGTGCGCCTCTAGTAAAACATCCAATAATAAGACGAGAAAGAATAGCAGGTAACACTGTGTGTTTGTTAATGGCCGTACACCAAGTACCTGTGCACTGATCCGAGGCAACATGTGGAAAAAAGCATGTGCGAAAAGGAGGGGATGAAAAGGTGAGGAAAAAAGTTCTTCTTATCACCGGTTTAGTACTTCTTTACGGGACTAGACTGTATTATGGGCCTTGTGTAGGAACTAGAATTTATTTTCATAGTACTAAGGTCCTCTATAGCCCATGAAGGCTTCATGTGAAATCCGCGCTGGAAAATTGAGAGTACAAAAGAAAAATCGCTCAAGAGCCCTTTTTCTTGGGTCGAGCCTGCGGAAGGGTAAAATCAAAAAGGTAAGAGTGATGCACTGCAGCATAGGAGAATCTACATCTGAATTTCTACTCGAGCACGGGGTCTGAGAGTGGTTTAGCGTCATGGAGCTGCAATAATCATTATTCTCCAAAATCGCGTCGTAGGTATTCAGATATACACATATATTAATCTAATCACACATTGAATTCTAGCGACACCCGACGGTTGAGCGGCAAGAGCGTCACTTCTTTCGGGTATAAATCCGCATACCCTGCACTTCGTGCTTGATGGCAGCATATCGTGAAAAAAAATTCTGCTGCCCGTAATTCGAAATAGCTTTGTCCATCATCGGACTGTGTCGTAAACTCCACTAACTCTGTAATCACTATCCTGGTGAAAAGTGAAATTTGTGAGGAACCGGCAAGGCGTTTATGTACGTCAAGCGAGCCGCGTCCCACCAACTGGGCGCTACGATGCGTTGAAGTTAGCGTGCCTAACATTAAGGCTTGGTAATTTTTCCCTTCTGTTCACGGTGGGAAAAATGATGGTGCACACCGATGAAGCCCTGCCTCACTTCAAACGGAACCTACTGGAAGAATGACCATAGGCTCGAGGAAACTTCAGCACTGGCACTGTGTCGAAGAAAATCGAAAAAGGAGCTGATGGGCATTTGGATCGTAAAATGTATAAATGAGGTCTGAAAATCGACTTCCTATCGATTGGGAAGGGTAGGACTTGGTCCTAGTGAAAATAATTTTGGCAGTTTGTTGCCTTGCGTTAACTGATCTGCATTGATACCAAAACTCGATTACACTGTAAAATGGAGCTTATATTCGATACTCTAACCCGGTCAAGTCAGTTGCAAAGCAATGTTTCATTCAGTCTGTCGTCACAGGAATACAGTTAGCCTACGGTATCTTAATGTGCCACCCTCCTCGCCTTTATACCAGAGATCGTGGAATTGAGCAGAAACTGAGACAGACAGTTAGGAGACCCCCTTAGGTGCACACCTAGTAGAGTCCCATGAAGGTGCTCTATTCGGAATTACAGTTAGGATTCTATTACGAGAACCCCTCATTTCGGCGCGGAAAACACTTGAAGCATTCTTCATCAAGGCTAGGTCTCCAAAAATGAATAGCAAGGACGAGTGCCTAGCCGTAGCTAGTGAACTCGCGCCTTCCTCTGACCTCTGTGGGTTTTATATGCCTCTGGTATCACGGCGGCAGGGATAGAGCATATCATCTAAAGCTACCCCAAGTCCCTATGGGTCAGTTTAGCGGCGGTCGTCCATACGACCGGTTGTTGCGATTGTTGTTGGAGGTGGGTTAAACGTTTTAAGGATTATCATGCCCATTTGGAAACATTAGGTCTAGAGAACCGGTTTTTGAAGCTAAAGAGTTGAATGAGGAATGGATAGCAATTATTTTTAGGTTTCCAACTCTGAGGAAGGCGATAACGCCGAAACGTAAGTTGATAAGAACTTGTTTACCATCTTGGCATCAGGTTTTAATAGAATCTTATAAAAATATTGCAAAACTATGCCAAGATTTATCGAAAGTCGAACATGGATGCTTGTGACAGACAGTTTTGGTCAGTAGCTATGGTGCACGATACACACCTTCAATCTGGAAGCAGAAATTCCCTACTCATCGCTTCTCCTTGCTCCTACAGTTTGTTTGGCGAGACAGTGATGACTTGGTTAAGTGAAACAGTTTTTCGTTTCCTGAGTTTGCAGATAATTACTGATTCACCGTCTCCGCCTGACTCGTTTGTGTCCTTTCTTTTGGATTGGTTTTCTTCTCTCCACATAGGTAGCTTATTGCAGCTGCCTTGAATTTACTCACAAGAGCAGAATTGTATAACTTTCCTCTTGGTCTCCGGGAGCACCCTTTTACCTCAAAGCTTTCTGGAATAGGCGGGATATCCGTTATATGAGGTCCAGGCAATCGCAGCGATTGGCTTTCAATGGGTTTGGCATTGTTCAGTTTATTGCTGCCAAATTTGCCCCGCTAAAATGTTACGTACAGATGTTCGGCATACTGACAGATCCACGCAAGATCCCAACCGCCACTGTCCCCTTCACATTTCACTTCCAAATAATGATTTTTGATTCTGATTGCTGCTGGCATCTATCCGTTTGTGTGTATATTATACCGCAATTTGTAATATAAGCTTCCTGTTTTTCTCATGAGTAGTAAATGCTCCACACAGAACAGTTGCTTCTTGAAAGATTTTTGGAGAAATTGGTAGCCCAGTTCAACTAAACATTTTCGGAAGGAGTTTTTAACAAAGTTTATTTCACCTAGGTTTGTGAATATTGCAACCATATAAACATAAATTGACACCATAACCATATAAACTCACGTACATTTCACATGGTCTACAATTGAGTACAGATAATGATTGGAGCTTGTTGAAACGCAAATTAATAAGAAAACTAGTTGTAACGACTTTGGATAGCACGAAAGAAGCATGTTGTACAAGCCGAGGTAGCAAATCAGTGAGGGAGTTTTAAGAAGTTAATCTAAACCAGTAGTAGTTCAAATTGGATAGGTTGTTAAAATAAGTGTCTCTTGTACGAGTTTTTTTCCGATCCATCATTTCTTTTTACCAGAGTTTCATTTTTAGCAACAGCTGACCAGATTGCAAAACAGTACGTCCAGTAGGAAGAAGTTTTTTGGACTATACAGTTTTCACGGGATGGCGGTATTCTCCCTGAATTTCCACGGCAAGCGGCAATGGTTCCGTGGCGGCCACCTTATCCTCACGCTGGGAATAATAACCTTTCCTTCCACAGCGTGGGAGTGCGCGCGATCGGGGGCAATTTTTTCGGGGAGAAGTATCTACACCCGTTTTTGATTGTGGCGCAGTGGCAAGGGGCGCACTACCACTTATGCATGGTCCGGAGATCGAACCCGGATCACTATCCGCCTGGGTCAACTAAGTCTGTTATCCCTCCGGGGTTGGTCTAGTGGTACCTGCATCGCCTTTTAGTATGAAAGCACTGACTTGTTATAGGCTGGCACCGCAAGACATTGTATCTGTCAAATGCGAATTCAGAATCGTCTGAATGAATGCATCAGAAAATGGGATTAAGTAACGACAGGTATTTGAAGGCGGTCTCCCTTAGCTCCGACAGGAGAGCGATCCACGCGGTTCTTCTCAGATTTAAAGCAAGAGGTTCCGATGATGGACCTTTACAAAAGCGGTGCTTAGTGGAAGAGATTGTGAGAATCGCGAGAAAATGTGTAATTTTTCCGTTTTCAGGAAATCTCCCACCCGAGTTCGAAATGCTGAAAAGCTGGTCTCAGGTATCTTTCAAGATACTTATTAGCTTCGAGTGAATCGTTTTCGTAAGCACAGGAATCACATTTATAAATTTTTCAGAGATTGGAAAGTTATAAAATAGCCTAAGCCGATGAGACAAAAAAGATCTGTAGCTGTTCTTACTCCTGCTCTACCTTCATGATATCACTTTTGAACTATAAGAGCTCGGCTGAATAGAGTTAATAGAATAAGATCACCATCACAACTCGCTCATCGTCAAATCGCATAAACAACGAAAGAGAAGGGTGACAATTAAATTCTATGAGTGACCGTGACATGGTTGCTTGGACGTGCAATCGGCAAGGAAGCTACTTGTTGATCACCGATTTTCTTTCTGCGGCAGAGCAAAGCCTTCACGTGACCGATTCCGAGAAGATCGTCGAATATAGCGCGATATTCTTTGCTGAAAATAATATTACAATGAAGTTGCTCAAAGTTTTGTTGAAGTCTTTAACGCCTTCATATCTAACTAGATCTCTTAAGGATCTCGGCTTTCTTATATGAAGAATTCTCCGTGTGACCACCAACACTGATGGAATGAATAACGGAAAGTATTGAAAAATTTTATGTCGAACTCCTCTCGAAAATTGCAGAGCTATCTCTAAATTCCCGTCTTGCAAGCAACTGAAATCTCTCTCACTAATAATCCCGAGCGATGTCAACATGACTGTCAGACAGCAACCCAGTTCTTAACTTCTTAAGTTTTTAACAGACAGTGACAACAGCCCCAAAACCCTCTACTCCCTATATTCAAAGCCTTACAAAAGAAAACACTTTGTTGTTATCATCTAGGAACGACCTTGATTTAGCGACCATGAAAGCTGAAATTTTACAATGGTGCACATATGCTGAAAATTCTAGCAGCTGATTGCGCATGCAGTGGTGACATTTACAGTAGCGTCGCAGACGCCGGCTGCGAGCGCTGACGCTTTTAATCGATCGATTACGCGCACGTTGAGCGCTCATGCTGTACTGAACACCTTCCGAGCACGTTTGCGTGTTTAAAAAACACCTGCGTTTGTAGGCATTGTATCTCAATGAGTCACATGGGTGTCCATTGATCAATTAGCATGGAACTATTAATTACTAATATCAACAAAAGCACTTAATGCTGCACTGGAAGAGGGTACAGAAGCAATCTGTGAAAAGAAATGTCGCACATAAAGGAAACTGCCAAGGAATCGATAGGAAACCCGTAGTTATTTGAAATACGAAGTGCGTCAGCGCTTATTGTTACCAAAGCTATATCAAGTACTTCCAAGCCCCTACCTCAGCGGTTTCTGTGATTCCTGTAGATGCGAGGCTGTAGGATAAACTAGAATGTACAACTTACCGTTGCCCAACTTGCAACCACGTAGTCCGCGGAAGGTTCCCCTTTACTGATGGGTCTTGTCAATACTAGGAGCTGGGAGGATCTGCTCCATTGATATACACTAATGCACAAACCTGTTGATGTAGTAGACGAAGAAATTGAAACAGTATGCTAAATTACAGAATAGTCCTGTAAATATACTCCAATTTAGCAAGTCAACGTCTAGATTCAGCAGCTCTCTAAGAGAAAAGATGAACACTGCGCAGAAATAGCCCAACACTACAGTCATACAGATAACAAATACAGAACGATGGACGCTCTTCGACACTCCGCTGCCTAGAATTGCAGTGTTTATAAACTATATATGGGTATACCAAAAGACCTTTCTTTGATCTTTTCGTATGAAATGGCACTGTAACGAAACATCAACTTGAAGCACTTACTCATTCGTAGTTTTCTCAAGAAGAGTAGAAAGGACGCATTGCATAGGACAATCAGAAGGCATACTATTAGGACCGTTTTGACGTACACAATGCTAATTGTTCCCATCATAGTTGATTCCAAACTGCACATGACTTGTCTGCAACTCATAAAAATATCGGACAAAGCTCCTAGAATTGGAATCGGATGCTTTTCATGCAAAATTAGCAAACTTTGAAGTTTCACTGATGCACAAGAAGTGATTATTGTGATAATGAGAAAATATTATATTTACATACTCTTCAGCATTCAGATCTTTCAAAGCTATCACTTCCACAGCAATTGCCAATATACATCCTGGCAGAATCTGTGCAACGAGATAATATTTCGAGTAGGAAGCTATCATAGCGTCGCTGAAATGTATTTGATTTGAGTATCAAGGCAAGTCCATGTTTGTGCCAATTATTTTCGCAATGTGAGTTTCAACATGAACCTGACTAATTTATCAGTTTTGCTTTTCAGTTAGGTACAGTTGAGAAAGGTCATGTGATTGAAATGCCGAAAACAATCTATTTCACCTTTCTATTAATTTCTGTTTGGAACCTCTTTCTCCTTTTTATTATAATTATTATAGTTACCTCGACGCCCTTCTGGCGGAGACGGTATAGCGGCAAGTGACGCAACATTTCACACGGGTTCAAATCCCGGATCAAACTTCGCCCAGGTCAAAGAACCTTCCACCCCACTATTGACTGTTAAATGGTACCAGACTCGTCTGGAAAGATAGAAGCATAGATTCGTGCATCGGCTGGCCGACGCAAGTAGTTGTATAAGCCACATACGCATTCATACGCCACAACGATTCTGAATGGAAGTCGGATGCGTGTGCGCAACCCTCAGACTAACCGATGCTCAAAAACTTTATCCTCCATTCTTTATTTAAACTCCTTTATATTATCAACGACTTCACAAATATTCTATCGATTCTACGTTATCTAGTAGAAGGCCAATGACAGGACAAACGAGTAAAACAGAACATAAGTAGTGAAGGATTTTATCGGTGGACCTTCTCAAACTTTCCTCAATCAGTGAAAAAAAGATAATTCGTAGATATCCGCAGACCTCGTAAGGAGAGGGCACCCTTCCAAGAGGGTGTCCTTCCAAAATGAGAATGTTTTTTGGCCTAACGGTATGAAGCCGCCGCTTCTTGGAGCTTTTGAGAGACTTTACCCTTGAATGAAATTAGAAACTGCTCAGGGCGGCGTGAAGAATCGAAGTCAAGAATTAGCTTCACTAGGATTCCTTCTGGTGCCACAATAGGTACTTTCGCCCATCTCCGCTTGACCAGAATGCTGGCCCCGTTGCTGAAATGCATTCAAGTGGTTCCTGCTACGACTACTCACAAATTTATGGGCACACCGATAGAGCCACTCATCGTAGACATGACAGCGGTTTTTTCGGGATTAATGTCAGAAGAATGAGATCTTTCGAGAACGTCTCAACTTTCAAAAATCACGAAATTTCCTTTTCCTGCTTTTTGCAAGCAGAAGTAGCTACGCACGCAGAACACACACTTACACCCTCACAGAATAGACCCGATTACAAAAAATGAAGTATGAAGTACTTTTAGAAGGCTTACTAGAATGTCATGATACACAGCCTTCGGTCGATGGTAGTTGCAAGTAAAAACATCGGCGATGTACATGCTGCGAACATAGATGGCAGTTCAAGATAAGTGCAAATAGACCGAGGTACTGTTTCACTGCGAACTCTGCAAATGATAGTATGAGAACAAACAAAAATCTGCAAACTAAAAAGAATTGGTCATTAGTAACTTCAGTAACGTCAGAATAATCAGAACTTTCCGCCGATCCGGTGGATTGTCCGATATTTGTAGAAAACACCATAAAATCACTCAAAAGGTTTTCAATATATCAGAAATGATCCTTTGACAAAAACCACTTCGCTGTTTTAGATTCCAGTTATGCTGGCTACTGTCTATCAGACATCTGAAGACAAAAACTTTCTTCATCTTCTCCCTGGCGTTAGCAATTCGGCATCGTGGTCATGTCCATACAGCGTATTTTGAAAGCCCCTTGACTTCGACAAGGTAATTCTTGATCACAACCAGCACTTGTTCTCGAGGGTTCCTCGTGTTTTCTTCCCTTGAACTTCGAACCTCAGTACTCCCTTGATCGGACGACCTTGCAGTCTCCGCAGCACTTGCTCACATCGTCTTATTCATTGATCTCGCACTATCAGCTGGACAGAAGCGGTTTGTATAACCGCCCAAGATCGTCCTTCCTGTTGCGGTCCAGTTTTACGGAGACGTGTGTGTGCCTCAATGTCTTCATTGCCTGCAGAATGAAATTGCCTTTCATGATCCTTGTCTCATGATCGCTCAGCATATCGGCTGCAACAATGCTCTGTGTACTTTCCCCTTGAGCCTCCTGATGCACTAGATGCTGTGATGTTTGCTTGGGTTTGCACTAGTCACCTCTCAAGTCAATTCATACCATATTTATTCCAGCATGGTCCCTCTTCTTACGGCATCGGTAAGATCACTACCTAAGTTCCAAAAACCTTGACTTCTTTCGATGTGTTCCCCATTTCATAATCTAGCCATTGCAAAAATTCAGCACTATAAATCAATTTGCTCTTCTGTCCTTATTCCTCCAGTGAAAAGTCCCTATGGGCTGCCCAAAACTTGTCCTTTGAATTCTTTACATTCTTGATTTTTTTATTTCAATACCAGCCGGGTCGCCCGGCTGAATCTGGGCTCGATGATTTTTGGCTGAATATACACGCACTTCGACACTTTTTGTGAGCAGTTCAGCGGTCAAGTAACTCGGTTCATTCACCATTTGTTCCAATTTGACTGCCACTCTCTCAATCAACACAGGTTCCGCTCTCCATCTGCCTCCTCCAGGCGGAGTCTAACTCAGCACTTCCTACCACCTATTTCCTTTTGTGCACGCCTAACCCCCTGGCAGCACAGTCTTGACCTGCCTCCCATCAGTGTTCCCATACCGCCGCCTATAGTCCCACCGGATTCTAACGATTCTAGGTTTACGGGAACAGGGTTATGAACTCGCGGTCAAACATTTCTCTCGTGCACTAACCACCTCAGTGGGCGGAGTCAGTAGTGCCATCTACCATCTGCATTCCCGCACTGCCGCATGTTCTCCTGTAAAATTTGAACGGTCTAGGACTGGCTGCTTTCATAGTCCGCCGGCCTGCCGGTCGGCGAGTGAGCCGGCCAACGGGCGCGCCGGCTGAAGTAAAACGAATTAGTTCGTATGTAAGAAACCTACGTCTGTTGCATTTTATTCCACAGTTCTGATCGGTTTTGACCGCGAAATGAAATGCAACAGACGTACATTTCTTGAATGCGAACTAATTCATTTTACGTCAGCCGGCTCGCCGGCCGAAGGATTTTGGAAGCAGCACTGAGTTAGGAATTTTTGTGCACGCTCCGTCTCTCGTGGACGGAGTCCAGCCCTCCCAACCACCTCGATGTTCCCATCCTGCCGCCTGTGCTTCTACTGAACTTGAACCCTCTAGGTCCACGGGGACAGGAGTTATGAATTTCCGGTCAGACACACGCACGCAGATAACGATCAAAAAACAGCTGGGACCAGTTCAACGCATTAGCTAATGATGAAGAACAATAAATGTGATAACATAGTATAAGGCTTCGAATAAGCATTTTGAGACCCCTCTCTTTGAATTAAATCTTCATAGAACCAACATATTGTGGAAAATAGTAGCAACAGGCTCAGCACAGACCACTACCATGTCGCTGAGAGATACCAGAGCAATAAGCAGGTTGCACGGATTTCGCAGAGCTCTTAAATAGAGTAGGTAACAGAGGCGATGTAACAGCATGCATAAATAATTTCAAAAAAAACCTATTTTGTCAAAATTTTACTTTGAACGTATTGTCACATAAACAACGGCTCCGTTCCCTATAAAAGCGATAGCAGGCATCAGAATATGCAGCACATGGTAGGGAACTGGTTTAATGTGCGGATACATTCTGAAAATGAAAATGGCTTTTGACATACATATGTATGTAGGTAAGTGTGGACCTGAAGCAAGTCATTGTTGCGAATGAGACAAAACTGTAAAATCAGCAAGTCAGCAAAGTGAAAAGAGCTGCTGTCAAGACACTTTCCTTGAACTATCTGTTGAAATGACCAGCACTATCTTTCATTAACAGTGATTATTCACGGTGTACAGTGTTATTACACGAAGGGCTGACAAATAAAGCGCATATAGGCTGAAACGAAGCCAAAATTCCTCGACGAGACGACGATGACATTGCATCTAAGCATGGTTTATAGCTACAGTTGAGAGGAAGCTAGGAGTGGCAAGTTGCAGTGGAAGGATGCGTTGGCAGGGAAACTACTGTAGCTTGACGTTTGTAGACGGAAATAATATCGCCTTGTTGTTCGCCTTCTCTAGCTTTGTAGCCAGCTTACGGCGTCAACTTGTAGGCTGTTAGGCACGTGTATAGAAAAAATAAAAAGACCAGTTTTAACAACAAGTTTAGTTTCTGTGACACAGTGATCACAACTAATCTCATAGTTCTATTGACACTTAAAAAGATGCCCTTCATTCAGATTAAGGGCACGCGGTCGAGGACAGAAAACCGAAAATAATTAATAACTCGAAGACCCGTATTCTCTTAACACAAGAAATGATCACCAATGTTCTGACACTACTTAAACGACCACTGTGAGCAAGAACCTCAGTATTCGATAGAATTTTGGAAAAGCGAAAGTTAAATAACTGTTAGGTACTGTCAGTGCGCCAAAAATCGGCATTTGTTGTTTTCTGAACCAGCGTTAAGGTACTATCAAGGGTTTTTTTAATAACAAAGGTTAATTTGACGTTCTGAGCAGAAATAGTGAGACAAGGCTAAGGAAAGCCCCCTACACAAACCTCAAAACGACGATTGGGATTGATTGAACGAGATTCACGTCGCTGTCGGGACAATCAGCAGAGTGGGAGACGGGCGTTAGAAACAATTTTGGGTAATCGATTTGCCGCACGCGGCTGTCGCGGACAACTCATTCGCCGTTATTACAGCTCTAGCGTTCTTCATACGCTCATGCGATCATTATTTTATGCATAATTCTACTATTAGTAATTTTGTTCTCGTATTTCTTACCTACTGCTGCACCCTGCTCATTCCTTCGCGCGCGACGCCCCTCTCACCGCGACGCGACCATTTCGTTCCTAGCGCACCACACCCTCAGCAGAGTACATTCACAACAATCGTAACTTCGCATTGAACGAATACACTGTGTTTGTTTTTTTGTAGCTCATGAAAGCAGTTTCCTTTAGTTTGAACGCTCTTATTTGATTACTCTAGACGAAGGACACTGCCTTCGTCTAGGG